GAACTTATTTTATTTAATATTAATATGGACAAAAAACTTCTATTCAACCAAAGCAAGCAAGTGAAATTAAGTTTCTTGAAGGTTACCTTGTGGAAAATCACTTTATTCTCACAACTTCCACTTGTGACAGCATTCATTGTTGACGAAGATTATAAATCTCAAGAGGATGTATACGACGCAATTCTCGACACGCTTTTCCCAATCCTTTTTGTCATTTTGTTCAGTGTTTCAGGGAAAACTGGGCGCATAAAAAAGTTGGTGGTAAAGATAGTAATAAACCTCTTTCCTTTTCTTTTATCAGGTATGTTTCTCATTCCAACATTCTGAACTGTTATTATTACAACCAGATATCTTTTTGATCCAATTAGTATAGTATTCCTCGCATTATTTGGGATGCTGTTAATTGCACCATTCATTGTTTTTATACTGTTTTGTTTTGATAGGTGCTCGAAGAGATCAAAGCAAGCATTTAATATTCTTCGTATGTTATTTTTTCCTGGATGGTTTTACCTTCCGAATATTTTGTAAACATTATTGATTGTGTTAAAATGGCCGATCGACTTTTATTTTGTCAAAACATGCGTGTTTATACTGGTTCTCTCTTTAACAAGAAACGTGTCCTTCTTTACAGAGGAAAAAGCGGCACCTGATGACTTTCTGTCTACTTCAACAACATTAACTCAATATGAACTGCGCAAATATTAGATGAAGGGTTAAAGGATGAAAACCTAATAAGCAAGGGTTTGGAAACACCAATATCTGATCGCCTGCGTAAAAGAATAGATGAAATTCAAAAGGAAATAATCTGGAAAATGGACAAATTAATGGCAGAAACAAAAGAAGAAACGAACAAATCAATGTCTGAAATGAAAAAATCAATAATGGCTGAAATGAAGGAATCAATTATGACCGAAATGAAAAAATCCATAATGGTTGAAATGAACAAATCAATGAAAAAATCAATGAAAAAATGGAAAAATCAAGATATAGCGGATACAAATACAGAAATAGTAATCGATGAAAGAATTTTTAAACGGCATAGCCGGCTAATCTTCTTTTTTGTAAAAAATGACAAAAAGTAACTCATTACTAATTTGTCTATATAGAAGAAAAACATAATAGAATAGGAGACAAATAATAACGATAGTAATAGTAATAATATTAGTAGTGTTTTGTTTTTTTTTCCTTTATTCTAGATCACTATCATTATTACAAATAAATTCCAATTATTCATTAATTTCATATTTCATTGATCAATTATAAAAAATAAAATAATCAATAATGTAATGCAATCTAATTAGTATTTTATTGGGAAACTACGCCCTCAAAATTAGAAGCCACTTCTTCTACTTGTCCAAAAAATTGATTTTTGATTTTTAATATTTAATTAAAATATTTCCACGTTCCTTTTCTTTCTTGCTTTATTTAGATGTTTGTTTTGTTACCGTTCCAAATAATTAACCTGATTTTCTGCGTGATATAAAACAAACAAATCTGCATGCATGACATGCAATATTCTGCATAATTTCGTAATTCTGTGGTTTTTTTTTTTTCAAAAAAAAAAAAAAAAAAACGAATGATGTTGCAATCAGAAATTAGTTATTATTATTATTATTATTTAATTTTGTTATCTTTCTTATTTAAAAAATATTACAAAATAGAAATCCAAAAAATAAAGCATATTTAAACTTCGTAAAAGCTTCAGATAAATTTTGTCGATTATCATCTAAAATTGAATTGTATATAACAGTTGACTTTTGTACCCGATCAACAGAATGGTCACAAAAATTACAAAATAAAAATTTCATTGTTAATGTGAAATTCACCAGGATTTTTTTTCTATTCTAGTATTGATTATAATTGTTGTTTTTGTACCTAAAAATCATCATGTTACATTTATTAAATTTCCATTTTTTATGATATTCTGCGGTATATCATCATCATTATTATGGTTATAGTATTTTCCGTAAATTCTGTGATTTCTGCTCTATGCAGAAAATAATCGTCTATGTACTGATCGTTCTCATTTCATAAATTTAATAATTCTTCTTCTATAAATAATTTAGAAAATGAGTTAGAAAAAGGAAACGAAGCACTGAAAGTACTAAAAGAAGTAATGCAAAAACGAGAACAAGAGGTTTTCTGAAAAAAATTTTTTTCGAACTCTTTCATTTTCCATTGAACGAGGAAAATCTTTCATTCAGCATTTCCTTTTTTGTATAAATATATAAGTCAAAAAGAAGACCATTTCGGAGTTAACCGTATTTATTGATTGGTTGAATTACGAATACATCGTCTATAAATACCAATAAAATAAGTCGATGAGAGAAACTTTATTCTATTATTCAAGATGTACAATTATTATCCCTTCAACGGATCTCTATTCAACCAAAGCACATCCATTGTCGACGAAAATTATAACTCTGAAGAGGATGTATATGATGCAATCCTCAACACACTTTTTCCTGTGCTTTTTGTCATTTTGTTCAGAGTTTCAAAGAAATCCGGACGCATAAAAAACAAGCTGTTGCCATTATTAGATGACATATTATACAACACAGTCACTTGGGTGATTCCGCTGGTGGTTTCCTTTACTTATGATGATTTGCTGAGTGTAAAGATATTTTCGTTTGTAAACATGGGTTTGCATGTAATTTGTGCAGTAGCCGCGATAGTTATGCATAAAAAAGTTGGTGATAAATTTAGCTTTCATTTTCATTGTATCAGTTCATTTTTGGTATTTTTCCCAGCTATAGTCATTCCGTCATTTTGGACTTCTATTATCATAATCAGATATCTTTTTGATCCAATTAGTATAATATTTCTCGCATCATTTGGGACACTATTAATTACACCATTCATTGCTTTCATACTATTTTGTCTTGATGGGTGCTCAAAGAGATCAAAGGAAGCACTTCATTCGAGGAGTTTTTATATAATATTACTTGTTGGATGTTTTTATCTCCCAAATATTCTGCAAACATTATTGATTGTGTTAAAATGGCCAATAAATCCTTACTTTGTCAAAACATATGTGTTTATACTGGTTCTCTCTTTAACAAGAAACGTGTCCTTCTTTACAGAGAAGAAACCGGCACCTGATAAATATCTGGCTACTTCGACAACATTGACTCAATGTGCCCTGCGCATGTTAATCGACAGAAAACGTAAAATAACAAATGAAAGTCAATCGGGCGAAACTCCAAAGGATACGATCGAGAGAATAACAACTCTAGAGGAAAAAATCGAAAGATTAAGCGATGAAATTGCTGAAATTAAAAAATCAGGATATAATTAGATGAGAAAAAGTAACAAACATATAAGCCAGGATAATAATATAACATTTATTATGTGACAATAATTTTTTTTTACATTTTACATTTAAAATATTATTTTAAGAGAAAATTTAATAGATTTTTTAATTTTCTATTCTTTTGTCTGAGTCAAATTTGGATGAACTAATACGTAAATTATGTTTCTTCTGATTTGCATTTTTTTCTAACTAATTTTTGAGAATTATTATCATCTTCATTTAATGTCAATATCATAACATTCTTGTTCTAATAATTATTTCTATCAGTTTTTCATTAACTTCACAATAATCATGAAAATAATTATTTTCTGAATTATGTTCATTTTCAAATTCATCTTCAACAAAGATATCTTTTACTAAATTTCTTGGATCATAATTATTATCAGAAAATTCGTAAATTGATTCATCTTATTAGTTGTGACATTTTAATGAAGAATATTAAATTTAAAATAAAAATTTTGTTAAGTATTATTTATAATATCTCCTTTTCGCCGCATTTCATCAATTTGCCATATTTTACCATTTCGCCAAATGTGACGAAATTAACAATGATTTGACGAAATAATTTCCCGCCTACAAAAACATTTCGTCAGGTATCATTAATTTGTGCATTCAAATAATCAGTTATGATTAATCATAATAATTTCAACTATTGGGTAAGAGAAACAAAAAAAAAGTCCAGAAGAATTACCAGTTCAACTTTTTTCTTCTCGCCCACCAGTCAACAATCCTTGTGTCCTCTTTAAGGCGCCATGAATGATTTGATTTAATTTGGTTCGAAATATATACTATATGAAATAATTTGAATTCTATATGATTTTAAAAGAGGAGTTGCCTTTGGAAATATATGGAATATTGAATGACAACGCAGTCTTGTAAAAGTAGAAAAAGGAAATGAATGTATTGTAAAAATACAACTTGAACATTTTTAGTATACTCTATCGAAAAATTCGATATAACAAAAATCTGTTATAACGAGGTTTGACTGTATAGCAATTTTCTCTTTGTCTCTATTTCTTATTATTTTTTATTTCTTTGGCGAGATAGCATTTAAATTTTTTTAGGAAGTAACACCTACCAAGAAATGTGACCAGGATTATAGTGTGAAACCTAAAGATATTGTTTAATGAGGTGTTGCTTAGCAAGGAATTGTTTAATAATAGTGAAGGATAGCTTTGAGAGTAAAGCATAAATATAAATTGTTGATTCATATTGGGTAACATATTTTTGTATTTTTTCATTAATAAATTCCACTAATAAATGGCAAATGGGTCATAATGAGTGTTTTCATCAATTTCGCTGGGTGTTATAAGTATTCTTTTATATTTTGACATTGGGTTAACAAGAAGAAACACTGAGATTTACAAAAAAATTTAATTTTATTGAAATAAGCCCCACTATTTTATATGAAAATCAACATTTCTCTCATTCATAGAGACCATCAATTATATTTTTTAATCTATTGTTTTGCATAATAAATAAATAAATTACACATATTATTATTATTATTATTATTATTATAAGCCAAGAGGCACCTTTTCCACAAGACTAATTTGTGATACCACTAAATTATTTTCTCACTATGTATATATATTATGAATTAATTAATAAATGATGAAATTACAATAAATACTATCAAGAATTATATTATTGTAAGCATAATGTGATGAAAAGTATTATACATATGCTATTTAGAATATTTTAAAGCATCATAAGACCTCAAAACTTTAGAGGGTGATGCATCAATAGGCGATTCATTTATGCAAATGTGAGTTTTAGTAAAAGGAATGATCTTCTGCATTAATAGATAATAGTCCATTATTCAACTCTGTCATACCAAAAACAAAGTAAGCATGTGAATACATAAAAACAAATGCATCAAAAGCTGTCAAAATTTATACCTTAAATAAATAAACATTTTCGATAATTTCTCTCAAGATATACAATTGGTCCTGAGTACTTGATATACTAAATTCTTTTATAATATCAACAATGTGTAGACCTCCATTTGTTTGATTACATAAAATGTAAACATTCATTCTAAGATTGATAAAAAGAATAAGGATCAATAAAAATATATGGCCCTAAATCTATGTTACTTACAGTAGACAATAATTCCATATGACTTTATAGAAGATACTTGTTGTTCTGTTGCTCCATGTGATAAATAGTATTGACATTGATAATAAATGGAAATTTGCATACACTTAAACACTTTTTCGATGTCTTCATTTAATTTTTTGACATCAGTATAAAGAGTGTTGCTGATAACTTCTAAAAATCCTACTTCCAAAATAGCAGCATTTACATTTATTGAGTATATCCCATCCTGGGAACACCCAATGCCATCAGGAAATTAAATCTTATGATGCCAACATAATATCACATAAATCTTACAGTGCCAACATAAGTTTTACACTTTTTTATTATTAAACTTATGATTGACATGCGCAAATTTTTTTTATATTTTCCAGATGGCTAACCCATTGCCAATATTGTCAAGTTTCATTTCTTTGAGCTTTGTTCGATTTGTTTTCTACCTCTCCCCTATGCAAAAGACAACCTGTTGGTGACCAAAGACATAAATAATAAATAGAAATTTTTCTCAATTTAAAACTTACATTTTTACTTTGACTAAATCCATAATGTTGTTGAAAGCTTTGACAATTATAGGATTCACAAAATTTTCTTGGTAAGAAAGTTTGTTTTGATCCGGATCCTGTAGTAAGTTAGTGGGTGCATTGAAAAGGAATAGACTAAAAAATAATAGTACAAACTTGAATTAAATGTCACAAATGGAAATAACACTAGTTACAAATATTTATACTCACAATCATTTATAAATATCCTGTATCCATAAAAGATCATAATGTTCTTTGTGAATAAAAGTTCCAATATATGGCTTCTCAAGAACATTTTCGATAGTACCATCCAAGGAAATCGCATCAAAAACAGATTTATTTTCCAAGTGGGTTTGGTACTTTTGTAGGGTTTTTATTCATGAATATCATGAATATCATTAAGGTGGTTACACACTATTAAAACAGCAAAAAATCCCTTAAAAACATGAGTTGATCACTTGATTTTAATAGTGTGTGACCCTGTGTGATCCCCTTATGATATTCATGAATACAAACCCTATACTTTTGTATAAGAGGCTGTAGAACATTTTCCCATTTATTTAGGTGAATTGTCTTTACTTTTCCAACTATGAAGGGCAAGCAAAATTATTAAATTTTCAACATGAGATGTTAAACTTACAAGCAAACAATACAAATACCAAGTTCCAAATACCTTTTAAGATGCACTTTTCAGGTTTTGACAACTTATTAACAGGATTTGTAACATTTCATTCTGAAAGATTAATGATTTGATAATCAAATAGACAATATTCTATACATCTTATTTTTTCAACTATTTTATGGATTTCCTCCATTACATTCTGTAAAGTCTGTGAAGATAGAACATAGGTCAGATAAGGTATGCTGTAATCTTAAAGTTGTGCAAATAAGCATTGTTACCTCCTGAGATAAATTAGGTAGATATCTTCTTCAGTATTATCGTTAATGTTATAAATCTCTATAAATTTGCCCATTATTCGAATCTGAGAACTCTCGAACATGTGATTCTTCATTATCACACTGTTATGGTTCATCCTTGTGTTATGACATGTCAAAAAGGCTTATAAAAGACATTATTGTGAATTAGAATATAATTACCTCATGGATCCAAGGGGGGATGAAAGCACTTGACAAAGCACCTAACGAATATATTTGATCTGGAGGGGTGGTTGGTCCTGTTCACATTGGAGAGGAGTGACCAAAAAATAATCCATTTTTTTCTATTTTGTTGGGACCTGTTCATCAGTCTGAATGAAACATTCAATCTTAATAATATAGAGAATACAATAATGAGTACACCATCTTAGTCAGTATTATGCACAATTTTATCCATAACAGAGCTCCATCAATCCTTTTTCATAATGCCAGTTGCTGTTCCAGCCTTTAAGAGAAATGATGCAGTTAACAGTTATGTATATAACCTCTTTGAATCAAATAACAGAAAATGTTGCAAACCTTGGCTAACTGCATCTCCCTCTCTCCCATTTCAATTTCAGCATGAAAATCTAATTGTAACTAGATCTTGTCCCAGAATAACTTTGAATCCATGTCACTTGTACGATGACCCTTTCAATACACAAATAGAAGATTATTAGCCTTGGCCACAAAGTAAGAAGTCTTTTAATGTTAATATTATATGTGGACCACAGCGAACACAAAGATCATCAGGAGAATAGCGCAAAGATATTCTCCATAGCTATGTGAGTTTATCACCTCCATAAAAGTTCTATGACGAACACAAAGATCATCAAAGGGATGACACGAAGACTTCCCTTTTAGTCATAGAAGTTTACAGAGACTCAACTACAACGAACACAAAGATCATCAAAGAGATGACACGAAGACTTCTCTTCTAGTTGTAGAGAGTGCTCTAAACCGTTTTTAAGGCCCTCAGCAACAAACATTACATGCCTTGAAATTTTTACTCAATATAGTAGCATAATTTCTGACTTCTGATGAGCCTCCTTTCATAAGATAATCAAGAGATCTCCCAAGTATAAAAGCCTCCCTCTGAAACGAGCTGATAAAGTCAGTTTCTTGCTGATGATACTTGTAAAACTTGGAAAATTTCCATTCTTCAGGTGATATATTGATAAAATATTAATTCCTCTATGGTGTTGCAGTTTAGAGTAGCAAGAAAATTTTTTAAATTTGTTACACGAAAATTGATTCGTTTTGAACCCCAAAAATTTATCATAACAAATTTTGGTGAAACGGCCGAATTTTTGGTAAGACAAAAATTTAAAAATAAATTTTGGTGAATTTTCATTAATTAATTCTTTATAAATAATGCAAAAATTTCTTATAAAATAATTTTTATAAAAAACCAAATATCTAGTATAAAACATTTGAGATAAAAACCTAAACCTTATTTATTAAAAAATTTACCATTTACAATTATAACATGTTTTCAAATTTAAATCAATCATCTGTAGATTTAATTCATAGTGATATCACAAGTAATTTAAATCTAGAAAATAGCATGGAATTATCACCTGAAAATTCAATTTTACCAGATGAGTTATATGATTTAGGATTAGAAGCACATGAACCAAATGAATCAGCATTTGAAGCAGTCCAGGATTTGTAATTATTTTTTGAAGATGAATCAAATTGCAAATGTCATAAAAAAAAGATAAAATATGTTTTAAAAAAATTGGCTTTAGAAATTTTTTGGAAAGAAAATTCCAGTTAAAAGGATTAGAAGACAATGAACTGGATCTTTGTATTAAAACACAATTGATGGTTTTTAAATTAAATGATGAGGATGACAATGATGAAACAGAAAAAGATACTTATAATTATCAATATAATTCATCAATACCAATTTGTCAACCAGTTTTTTTAGAACTAAGTGGTTTTAGTAAAAAAAATTAATAGCCTTGCAAAAACATTTAAAAACAGATGGTTTAATAAGTTGCATACATGGTAATACTGGTAAAGTTCCTCAAATAAATCACGTGTAATAGTTAATCTTGAAATTGCACAATTATTTAAGAATTTTTTATTGCAATACTCAAATTTACATGGACTACCATCTCCTATGAGAATGAGGGATGAATCAGAATTAAACATTTATTTACCAACTTATTTAAATTACACTAGAGTATATGAGGAATTTAGAAATTATTTTGATTTGGAATATGAATCAATTAGACCCATTGAATATAAAACATTTTACAAATTATGGAAATACATTAGATTCCAAACACCTGGAACTGATCTTTGCAATACTTGTGAAGCACTTAAAAGAGATATAAAATTTACAAATGATGATGATAAAAAAGAAACTCTTAAATTTGAATACAAAAATCACCAAACAGATGCAGAACAGGAAAGAAGCCATTATACCAACATAATTGAAAAAAACAAAAATGATCCAACAATAACACACATTTGTTATGATTGGGCCCAAAGTGTTGCAGCTCCATTTTCATCTCAGCAAGTTGGATCAATCTATTTCAAATCCCCTTTCATCATAAACCTTTTTGGTGTATGTAAGACAGATGATGGAAAAAATAAACAGTTAAATTATACTATAGGGGAAGATGAATTACCAGAAGGAAAATCCAAAAAAGGAGCCAACACAACTTTGAATATGGTTTTTGATTTTCTCCTAAA